GTTTTTCATTAACTGACAAAACGAGCACTGGTGATATAACTAATTATCTGGTTTCTTTATTACGGGCCAACACAACATGGGATAGGAAACCGTAGGAGTTGGAAAAACAGAGGAATTGAAATGTTACTAAATGTTTCTTCTCGATCAACACTTCCCAAACAGATTTTGAAGGGAAGACTGATGACAAAATCAAGACCATGGAATTGGTGGAAGAATTAAGATCTAAAAGGGCTGACCTGCAGGTATGTATTATTTAGAATTTTGAATATCTGTGTTATCAGTTCTCATATATCTTGCAAGCGCATGTTACTAAACAGGTAATGTTTTAGTTTTAATACGGTAGGTTCTTTTTTCCACTTCATTGCAGGCTACCCTCTTGCTTGATGCCTTTAACAAGGACCGAGCTGCAATACCTCAACCTATTCCACCTCCTCAAATGGCAACACTGCCAGCACCTCCTCCTCCTGATGCTCGTACTCAAGAACTGATCAATGAGAAGCTAAGTAAAGCTGAAGCCCTTGGTATGTTTTTTTTTACCATTTTTCTTTACAAAGTATATCTATAGTGTTTTTGTCCTTTTGAAAGCATATATTTGTGTGAGTAATTGGGACCAAGTTGTGAGAATTTTCTCCAATACATTCTAGCTTTGAATTCAACCACTCAATTAGTTGATTACTTGACAGTTGACACACCAATAAGATATTTTGTAATGATATATGCTGGAAATTTTAGTTTGATATATTTGTTCTTTTAAAGGTGAGACACTAAAAGGTTTTATTGGAGAATTGTGAACTTAGCATTGCTTTTAGTTTTCTTATCTGGATCATTTAGGCGCGACTTGATGTTTTTGACCTCAGTGCCTGTCGGGGTCATGGATTAGGTTTGCGGTATTATATAGATCTTTACTTATTGGTACATTGCACATCAGTTTCTTCAATAGTTGGATAATTAAGTTTTTCTGGATAGTTTATCTAAGCACAAAAAAGTATGCAGTGATATTTTCATGTTTGTCCGTTCGGTAGGTGAACAAGGGATGGTAGAAGAAGCGCAGAAAGCTTTAGAAGAAGCAGAAGCTCTCAAAAAGGTAGCTGTTGCCATCATTACCTAATTTTATCATGTCTAGCTTTTCACCTGTAAATTACTCAATTGTGGAAGGTTAATTTATATATTTTTAGCGCTACCTTTGCAGAATATGGTAGATATAACTTGACACTGTTAGGTCACTGATACTTCCATTCTTTTCTTTGTTTTGTATGAACCATCACTGATGTCTCCTTTCCTTGACTTTATTATCACCAGTTGGCAGCGGCACGGCAGGAGCCAGTTGCTGATCCTTCTAAATACAGTGTTGCTGATGTTCGAATTGTGAGTTATGAAGGGCCATTTCTTATTTCTTATTCGTGTTACTGCATTAATTTAAGCATTGCTAGCACACTAGGTTTTTCTGCTTAAATGTACGTTGATGATCGTTTACTTAGTAGCATATGCTAGTTTTTCGTACATGCTGCAGAAATGCTTCCAACATTAGTGGTTTCCTTGATTCCTAGTATTTTCTAGGCATTTTACTATCCAATGAGTATTTACTACCAAGTCTTACATGCAAAGGTTTTCTGCAACCTTGGTATTTGATGTGATTACTCTCTATAGTTTTGAATACTAATTAAACTCATGCATTTCCCAGCCATTGGCGTTAGGAAAAAGGCTGTATTTTGCATAAGTTGAAATTTCTGATTAAATTGATCTTATATTGTACTCCCTCCGTCCCAAAATTCTTTTCTTAGATTGGTGTAGATATGGATGTATCTAACACTAAAATGTAACTAGATACATCCGTATTTAGACAAATCTAAGACAAGAATTTTGGGACGGAGGGAGTACTATAATTCACTTCTTGTATCAGTTTAAAACTCATTGAAGTGACAGCTCGACTTTTGTGCATTAGGAAATCTATGTTCCTTTTGTATATTATTACTTGCATGGTTCTCAAATTAGCTAGCGAGTAATGGAATATAAAGTGTTATGCAGGAATTTGTAGTTGTTCCACAAGTGGCTGCATGTAGAACTTTGTGTAACTATATCGTCAGAATAGATGATATTGGATACATATATCTATAATTTTTTGTGCTAATGTTTTCCTGTATTCTTTTCTGTACCATCCCACACTATTAAACTTTGGAACTAACTCCGTCATTCTTCATCATAATTAGATTTTTGTTGTTATACAATGAAGAATGAATTCCTGTGATTTTGATTTATGAGCTTGTTCTTGTGTGCTGTAATTGGTATAGAAGCATTGTGCATTCTTCATATTCATGAATGTGGTGAATTAGGAATTGCATCATATGTAATGTGCTCTTAAGAATTTGGTCACCGCTATGGTCTGCATTATTTCCGAGGGTTATCTATTCTTTTCCTTTTATTTATATCTGAATAAACATCTCATACTACTGCTCATACGCCCAGCATTGCTAATCGTATCCTCTGTTCATTCTATAGACTGATCAGAAGTTGCGCCTCTGTGACATATGTGGAGCATTTTTGAGCGTCTATGACAAGTAATGCCTTTCATCTCTCACTTGTAAAATGTTGATTCAAATTGGATCTTTCAGATGGAAATGTATCTCATGCCATATTATATACAGTGATCGACGTCTTGCTGACCATTTTGGAGGGAAGCTACACTTGGGTTATATGTTGATTCGTGAGAAACTGAAAGAACTCCAGGTACATTCTTGCATGCCCAGAGTACAAATACGATGGTGGGAGCGATTGAACAAAGTAGTATTTCAGATATTATACACATTAAAACCAATAAATCTACATGATTCTGTTAACACTTGCATTCTGTTTTTCAAAATAGTTTGTGGCTATTTTATCTTTTTGCCGTTTTTCTAAGTTTGTTAAGTTGCAAATTTTGAACGTCTTTATCAGGTGCTGAATGTAATGTCCCATTTTCTGCTTTAAAGAGTTACTCTGTTTTGGGCCTTTTGGCATCTGTGAGTTTTCTTATCTCAAGGAAGAGCCTTCAGGTTCTTGCCTTCTCTATATGTTAATTTTATCTCACATTGGAGGGCGCCATGGTTGTTACGATAGTCATTACAGGAATTAGTCAATGTTGCATAAGCGGAATCTCATGTGACAATCGTCCTCCCTCCTTCCCATGGCAACAACAGCCGCCAACTGTATGTTGACAAATGTAAGCATAGGAGTGAGCAGAACATGGTATGGAGAATCATGTTTACTTAATTGTGTTAGCTTTCTCATATATACTGATCAGAAGCTGGAGCTTGCTTTCTGCTTGGTGATCCATATTTTGTAGAGCTGGTGATAAATAGTACCGGTTAAGTTACCCTGAAAGCGCACCCTTTTGCCATCTTTTCCTGTAAGTTACAACCTGTTCATATGCTGCCTGCTCCATAAATATGTAAGTTGTTATTGTCAGAAAATCTCAACTGTAATGTATCCCTTGCCTTTTTCATTCCGTCGTCGTATGAATCGAGCTATCTCCACTCGGTAAGCATGTATATATTGTGAATAACGTCATTCTAAAACTATGTCATATTTGCCTTTTAGGAGGAGAGGAACAAAAAAAGGACCGAGAAACCTGACGATGACAGACGGTATGGTCTTTCCCAGCTTTTGCTTTGTTCTGTCATGGCGCTTATTATTATTAAGCAACACAATCTGAAAGTTGATACTTGGTTTTCCTAGATCAAGGGAAAACAGCAGGGACCGCAATGGGCGGGCATCCAGGGATAGAGATGCAGAAAGAAAGGACAGGGTTGAGCCCCGGGATAGCAGAAGAGACCACGACAGGGATCGTGATAGGCGCCATGACAGGGACCGTCGCCATGACCGCGACCGTGATAGAGATCATGACCGCTCCTCGCGTGGTAGAGAGCATGACCGTGATAGGAGAAGGGAACGCTCCCGATCCAGGGACCGCAGCAGGTATTGCCGAATGTTTTTTTATTTCCTGTTTGATTTCAGAGGCTTGCTACTACCATAGGCCAATCCTGACAGTTGTTTTGATTCTCAGGCGCCATGAAAGATATTGAGTCTGTTGCTCCATGGCTGGCTGATTCCCCCGGGGGTGCTCCCGTCTTCCTGCATGATAGTGATGGTGCTTTTTAAGATATATGGTGAGGTTGCGCTTTGTACTGGAGAAAGGAAGATTGTCTTGATGTTTGTCTTCGCTGCTGGATTGTTAGTCGAACCCTATGTTTCTGTTTCAGTCTATCTTTTCTGTCTATCTGACCTGATGTTGTGTACCAGAGTATACTGTTTTATATGTTACCAACGTGTAAGAGTTTTGTGTTACTCAAGCCTCCTTGGGCCCGCCTGTCAAACTTACATGTGACAGTATTTGTAATTTTCTTATCTTGTGATGGTATTGAGCTAATTTCCTCCGACTTGTCGAGCCTCTATTCCTCAGGGATCATGGTTGAAATAATTTTCCATGCCTGATTAGTGATTATCTGAATCACTGTAGAGGTGGTTAGGCTCTGGTTAGAGCCAGATTTTTAAAAATAAAAAAATAGTAATATTTTGAAGTTTTGTATTTTCTAAGTAAAAAACCCCACATATACACGGGGATTGATCTGCATACTTGTAAAATTTCATTTCTAAGTGGATTCAAGTAGGCTATTATAGAATCATTCTTTTTTTTCCATAATCCACTCATGAAATTTTACAGGCACATACTCCTAGATATATAAACTCCTAGATATGTTAAAAAAAAACAGGCTCAGCCTAAGAGCATTTTATGTTACCAGGTTGTGAAATGCAGTAAATTCAACCTGATGCCATAACCAGCACATAGAAAGTCAGGGACGAACATGAATTTCTTCTAGAATATAAACAAAACAGATGACACCATTTTCTCCAACAATTGCAAAAGAAGGCATACACATCTACACCCAGGGCGGCAGTAGCATTCTCGTATGATATAAACACCAACTAGAAAACCTGGAGCTTTCAATTTTACACCCCTGGTCCCTCTAGTAGACTCTCCTCTTGCGAACTTTGAAGCTGGTCGAGCGGATGACGTCGTCGTCGGCGTTGAACTTCATCTGCAGCGCGTCCACCGACTCGGGCTTGGTGAAGTAGGTCCAGAGGAGGTAGATGCCGTCGTAGTAGGTGAAGGGCAGCCCGGTCCTGCTGTTCCTCTTCCTGATGCTGTAAGCCAGCGGGATGACCCCTCTGTTGAACACCTCCACGTACATGGCGCCCCCGGCCACGAGCAGCTGCAATGACAGTTCAGCGAGGGAGGAGCTCCGTCAGTAAGCAGAATGACAAATGCCAATAGATTCGATGCGATGCTGCTGCAGAGTTCGTGGCACGCTGTTTCCGAATCCCAGCGAACCTGAACTCCCATGCTCCTGAATTTGTTCGGGTTTGACGAATCAGGCTTGAAATTTGTGGGTTTAAAGGGACCATCATTAGTCAGTAAGTTTTGAAGGCTATAATTGTACCCAACTTTTTTAATACAACAATGTGCGTGCTAGAACACCATTACCGCACGGTTCATGGCAAGCTGCTTACGTGAGTCTGAACCCCGTTCCCCTGAATCTGTCGGGATTTGTGGGGTTAATGGAACCAATGTTTGTCATTATAAGTTATAAAAGGCTATTATTGTACCCAACTTGTTTAATGCAGCAATGTGCGATGCTAGAACACCATTATCATCAGTGGTGAGATGTTATTCTCTACCAGTTGGTAGAAGATCGAACTCATAGGCAGAAACGTTGATGACCAAGAGAGCAATAAGACGAAATTGTTTCGATCAAGCGGTGTAAATACTGATCATGCACTCAATCAAACCTACTCAGTTCATCTTAAACTGGGAAATAAAGATAATCTTTTCATGCACCACATTTTACCCAAGGCCTTCAGATAATCAAAACATGAGAACAATGATTGGAGACTCAAGCTAATACTGTCACAGTGGCCACCACCACCCTGAATTTTCACAGGAACTCGTGTGTAAATTGCAGCTAGATGATCGTCAGTGGCGAGATATTATTCTCTAATCCTTCTCTCTACCAATTGATAGAACATCTAACTGACAGGCTGAAAAATTAATGACCAAGAGAGCAATAAGAGGGCATTGCTTCGATTAAGCATGTACATATTGATCATGCGCTCACCCTACCAGGCTCATTTAAGTTTTAACTGGTAAAGATATATATCCTGTTCATGCACAGCACTTTACCCAAGCCTTGAAGACTGTCACATTGGCCACTACGCCTAATTTTCACTGGAATTCATGTGTGAATTGCAGCTGAATAATCCTAGTTAACTAAGCAGTGATACAAGACATACAATGCCACATTATCTTCTACACTAAAATACATTCTCGAAGGAATCCGCGTGTGAATTGCAGTGAGGAGATGATCGAATCCGTTGGAGAAGAGGAAATGAGATAACATAAACAGTCTGTTGTGGGGCGGCGCGGGTGGGGTTAGGGTTACCTCCTCGTAGCGCTGGATGAGGGCGAGGCGCTCCTCCTCGGACATGTCGGGGCGGAGCACGACCATGGTCTCGTACTGGCGGAGGCCCGGAGGGCAGGGCGGCATCTCGCGCTCCTCCAGCGCCATCGCCGCCTCCGAGGCCGACATCCCGCCGAAACCGGAGGACGACCCGTCCTCGTCCCCGACCTCCTCGTCGTCGCGGCCGCGGGTGCGGGTCGCGGACGCCGCGCCCCCGTAGAAGCTCGCGGCGTACCCCGTCGAGAACGCGCGGGCGGCGCGTAGGAGGCGGCTGGGCGCGGGGCTGGCGGAGGGGAGGCCGTGGCGCGGGGCGAAGGCCGCGGCGGAGGAGGAGACGGAGACGGAGAGCGCCATGGGCGGCGGCATTGGAGAGGGAGTGGGGAGGAGGGCAGTGCGGGGAGTGGAGTCCCGTGGATAGATAAGGATAGGGGCAAATCGGCAGCCCACACTGCGGCGTGCACATGGATTCAAATGACTGTTTCTTTTCAAATCTCACCCCACTGATTTTCGAAAGTCCCATTTGAATTTTGAACAACGATTATGGGTGGTCGGGAGCGACCCGATGTTTTTTCTTGCAAAAATGTTCTACACAGTATACTTGATGGAGTCAAATGCCGCAGATCCCGGTAGGGGTCCTCTGGTAGCCTTGGTGCGATGGTAACATAGGCACATGATTTTACCCAGCTCCGGGCTATGTTGAAGAGATAATACTCTACGTCTGCTTTGGTTGTATTGATTTCGAGGGAGTATACGTTACAGATTGATCTACCGCGAGATCTATGTGTGCATCAGGTGTCGTCTACAGGCCTCACCCCTCGGTTTATACAGATACCGGGGTATACATATGTCGGTTATATTTAGGGGAATCGTGGTGCAGACGACCTTTAAG